GAGGGAGACAGGGTGGGGGCGGGGGAGGGACTACAACCTCTGTGGGGGGAACTTCCGTAGGGCTTGCGCTCTCTGGAGGTTGTGGCGTTTCTGGAATACAAATCATTATAATACATAATAATCATATTTTGAACTGTAAATAAATTTAAAATTTGATATAAAAATCACATTTCAAGAGATTATTCGTCAATTCCTCTAATTGTTGGTTTCTGAGATCTTCGTTTAAAATATATTGTTATCTCTATTTTATCAAAGATAATGACAGGGATGACGATATATTTCATGCAGAAATTTTAGTCTCACAAACCCACGGTAAGAATCTAGAATCTTTCTGTTGTTAAAAGTATAAATGTATTTTATAAAAAAACTTCTTACCAATGACTTCTTTCTCTTCTTCCTTTATCTCTTTTATTTCTTCTTTTACTTCAACTTTCTCAATCTTCGCTTTCTCATTTCCTCCGCTTTCGAAGTAACTTATTCTAGACATCAGAGCTGATTTCTTCGGCGGTTGTTTTTTCTCAATTTCAGCCAACTTCTTTTCCGCTCTCTCGGCTCGTTCTAGAGCCTTCTGTGCGTCTTCTTCTGCGAGTCTTATCTTCTCCTCCCATAAAAGAATATCTGTTTCTTCATGTTTTTCAGCTAATTTGAGCTGAAAAAGTAAATTGTCGATATTTTAAAAGTAAGATATTTTTGTACAACATGGGTGGCAAATGAAAGGGCTTTTTTAATGGTTAGTACCTGTAGTTCGTCCAACTGTTCCCTGTGCCTGGCGGCCTGGTGCTCGAGCGCGTCGCGCAGACTGTCCACCTCCCCCAGCAGCCTGCCCAGCCGCTCGTCCATCTCCAGCTCGCCCAGCAGCAGCGTGCTCTGGTGCGTCAACACCTTCACACGCTTCTTGGCGTCGCGCGCCTCCACCTTGTACCTGCATACAAACTTTTAGTACAGTTCCACCTCTCACCATGTTTGTCATCATAACTTGCAATTTAAAGATTCACTTCCCAGTTACGTATGTGTAAATCACTTAACAATGCAACCTGATTATGACATGGTGCTGAACTGATGATGCAGCCGTAAGGTAGGATAGGTACTTCGCAATGAAATAATAGAACATCATCGAGTTCATTCGTGAAGTGTTTTTTTTATTTTTTTTAATCCTTTTTAATTGGCAAGAACATGATAAAGCTCATAAATTTAAAATATGTTTCAGTCGAATAGCGAAATTCAAACCCTGAACCTTAAGATACTCCGTAAATTTAACCATTGGTTTACTGATGTGAAACAAGTTTATTTTTACAAGTCAAAGTATATCTATCTCTGTCCAACTCACGTCTCTGCCATCTGTCTGTCCTTGTCGGCGTTGTCTTTCAACGCGGTGACTTCTTCCATCAACAACTTGGAGACTCTGTTGTGTCTCTCCAGCTGACTGCGCAACTCCTGCAACTCCTTCTCTTGTGCGACGCATTTCTCTTTCTCTGTCTCCAATTCCTGGAATTACGAGGAACAACATATAAAGAAAACGTAATGATATTGATACTGGTTTGTTTATTAAATGGAGATCATTGGATGTGTGAGCGAGACGGCAATATTTATATTAAGAATGGTAGAGGCGAGCTAAAACATCTGTTGCACGAATGTGCTCGTCTGCTGCAATACCATCACCACTCAGAAGACAGGAGAAAAATGTAAACAATTCCGCGTAGTCTGATGAGTTTGCGTATCGGACTTTCCTTTCCAACGGATGGGAAGGGAAAGTGGATTTGATGGAGGTTACGGAGGACGTATATTATGGAGAAATATTCCTTTCTGTGTGTCTCCTCCTTCGTCAATTAAAGGTGGAGAACTCATCTGCTATTGCGTATGTCTAAGGACAGCGGTCGTTTGGCCATTTAGGGGAATTATAGCGATCGATTGCGTGTTTTACACTTTCTTATTTACGAAAACACTTCTAAATATCAATGACTTCGGGGGGATATATGACCAGTGTAACTTAATCTTTGGTCCCGTATGTAAACTATGAGGTAGCAGCTCACCTGTGCGAGGGCGACGTTATGCTCGTGCGCTTCAAACTCGTGTAGACGCGCGGCGCTGAGGTCTGCCTGAAGCGCGCCCACCTGCGCTGATAGCTCAGACACCGTGCGCTTTAGGAACTCCACCTCCTCGTTACTGCTATCTGACGCTGCAATACAATAACAAAGTTAAACAATCAGCTCTAAATGCTGCATTCATGGTCTTAAAAACTTTCCCTGAGTGTACATCTAATATGACAAATCTAAACTTTTTTTAAATTACAACATGCGACAACTACAGACTCTTAGACTGTACCTTTTTTGCACATATTCCTTATGCTAAATGGTAATAATAATAATTAATTATTAATTTAATAATAATTTTAGTTACAAAAACCTGTGATCATGGAGATAGGAGCGTTGAAGTCAACACTTAAGTGTCTTGGGCTTTTCATATACAATCGTTGAAACTTAGGTACGGCTGCCTCGCTAGAATCGCGTTGCGTGCTCCGTACATACAATGTTGAATCGTTGACGCAAATCGTCTATCAGTACAGACATAGCGACTACATGTCAAATGACTATTCCGCCAATTTAAAAATGACAGCAACTTTTCTTAAAACGAATTACTGATTTCTAAAAATAGATAGGCAATTGCTTGAAAATGACAGCTTTTGCTCCAATCCGAAATAAACGTGTTATTGATGTTAAGTGACAGTTAATTCTATCAATATTATTAGTTCAAATCCACACCACCGCTACAAACCATCAGCGCCAAAATGGCGTAAATCGAATAGGCACAAAATACTATGCCTTATAGCCAGTCTGTTTATAAAGCTCAGTGCAAAGAATGAACAAATAACTTCCGAATGTATTTGTCGAGGACAGATTTAAAACTAATCATAGTATAACCTGCATCAGTGGTGTCGGTGAGGTCAATGTCGACCTGTGTGGGCAGGGCGTGTATCAGCGCAGCGCTCCGTCTCTTCAACTGTTTGTTCTGTTTGTACCACTCTCCAGCCTGCTGCATAACCCTGTAACATACGAATATCATAACTTTCCTTTGGAACAGACGCAGTTCTTATCACCCTCTACATATCGTAGATTAATCGCATTTATGTATTCAGGTACAGTAGCAGAAATCCGCGGTGTTCCACTTACAGAAACATTGCTTTGTTCCTTGCAACAAGACAAACTACGGCTTTTACAAATAACCGATTAGCGGTAGCAGTGAGTTACGAAAACAACGAGTTAATAATAAAAACAACAAAAACTTACGACTGTGACTTTTAAGGTGGAAAACCGCCAGATTCCTTGATTAGTATGTACACTAATTGTTTCTTAAACACTGGTTAAAACGTAGAAAAGAAGTTATAACTTAGATTTTAAGAATCTTTTCATTTTTTAAGGCAATTAAAAACTTTTTCCTTTACATATTCTTTCAATTGAAAATTTCAAAACAAATAAAATTCAAGGAAATTTCTAAGGACAAAGCAAACGTGAGCCGAAAGTTAGTAAAGAAAAAAGAACTCATTTCGCGTGGAAAAGTTTTCGATGCAAAACAATAAAAAGGTAAAAACAATCGGGTTGAATAGAAAGTCGATAGATAAGTTTTTCTACAGGTTTGCTCTGAAGCCTTTTACAAATTTTAAACGAAAAACAAATTATTGCAATTTTAATAATTGTTAATTAAGAGCTAGATAATTCAAATGTTCGGAAGTTTAGTAATATTACGACCAAGACAAAAAAATATATTCTAAAACATGACACAAAATACTCACATGGTTAAAAGTACATTTTTAAATCGTATCTCAAACAATAATAATATACACTGGCAGCAAACTTTTGATTCTATTGCCATGGCGACACAGAAAAAAACAAATGTTTTTTTTTTAATTGCACTTATTCAGTGCAAAGGTTTTGCAATCTTAAATCCACTTAAAACGCGACAATAATGTCCGTTAGAAATAATATTAATATTAAACTTTAATTAATTTTAATAAACTAAAAATACACAACGGCATAACTGTGCGTTTCTATGACAGAACAGTATTCAACTATGGCCGGTTCGCGTAAAATTCTCGCCAAATCAATAATGTAACAAGTAATTTGGCGCAGTGGCTTCATTTTAATATTCGCCACTTTCTAGCTTTTATCATCGCATGAATTATTTATAAAAATTGTGTTTAGATAAGGTGACGTGCATTTTATAAGGCTTTTGGCTTGTTTTGTTTTTTAAAGAGCCTATTAGATTTTAGAAGTTAATAAGTAAAGGGAAATTATAACGGAAAGGACAAATAATTTATGTTAAAAGGTTGCATTGTAAAATTAATTTATTTTTTAATTCCAACTAAACAGTAATCTTTAAAAAAATATACGCTGGCTGAATGTTATCAAAACATTTGCCTTAAAAAATTGCATTGAAACTTTTTAGTTTTTTTTTTCAAAAGATCAAAGGCAACATAAATCAATGTTCTTAGTGCAACGAATCGAATACTTATTCAGAGCAACAGAAATAACAAACTGCTAATTATGTAAAAATTTTATAAGTAGGATTATATTAACATTTTAGAAGATAACTAATTAGACAATGAGTCAACATTTTTGTTATTTTTCTTATTTATTAATTACATTAAAAGTTTGTAGGTCAATAACACACTTTGATATTAAGAGAAATTAAGGGGCGTGGTAATACAATTTCTCCGGATGTGTTGAATGGAAAGTAATAAATCTAATGTTTAAATTATTAGTGTAGTTTGTTTCTCATGCTATTGTCTTGATACTTTGAATAAAGGAATTGTTATACGTGTTGATTTTCATTTTAGTGGTTACCTAACAAGACACGAGCTTACTGTGATGCAAGATCGACCGGTTTCCTTCCTCAGGTGATATAACGTATTTTGTGTGCCACTTCTGAGATATATTAATATTAATTAAATTTATATTCGTTAAATCCAAAGTATAAAAGTACAGTAAGCTGTATAAATGTGTATACATTTACAAAACTTTAGAAACTTATGGAAAGGTATACCTTCAAAAATATCTATCATTAGCTGACGCCCGCGAGGAACTAAGAAAAAAACTTAGTATGGTAGAATGTTTTTTTCCAGACTATGTTCTACATCTGTGCCAAATTTCATAGGTACCGTTGCAGGAAATACCTTCTAACAAACACATCCATTCATATTCGCATTTCGCATTACGCATTTATAATATTAGTAAGATACACGTATCTGCCCGTACTCTTCCGATGTAAAGAATACGTGCATACGTATTTTAGAAACCGAAGCCCTTTATAAATTTCTAAGGTTTTGTAAATGTTTATATAGCTGACTGTACAGTACACAGAACATCGTCAAAATGGTAAATTATCTATATAGGTAATTCTTATATTTGTAGCTAATACTTAAGTTAGTTTTAAAAATAGCAATAATAGTAGCGATATAACAAACTTAGTGCGGTTGTCACGTGACGGATGAGGTCGAAGTGTGGCCGGCTGTTAGTTCCGCTTACATGGTGCTCACACATCATACACAAACATACAAACAAACTATAAAATGATATATTTATGTTATCTGTTAAAATTTGTTACTATAACCAACATGAAATACCGAAAATAGTCGATGACTGTTTTTTCTCACCGTTGTAATGTGTTTATTGATTACTACTATACTACTCTTAAAATATTAGACGTATCCTTTGATAAAGCAAATCAATTCATCGTTTATTCTGTTCAATGCTATATAAACTTCATGGAGACTCGCTATTTCGTACAAGTTGTGCGACATAATAGAAATACAGGGACGGACTCACGAAAATTACATTCGCTAGTTACCTTCAAAGAAGTTTGAATCTTGTTCTTGTCACTTACTTCTGCATGACTCCGGCGTCGATCTCCTGCTGATGCTTGAGCTGCTGGTATTCCTGGAACAGCTTCTCGGATACCGTCCGCAGCTTGGCCAGCTCCCGCTCGCGCTCCGCCAGCTCGGCCTCCACGTGCCGCCGCTCCTCCAGTAGGATGTTGTACCGCCGTTGCAGCTCATCGTGCTCGCGTTTAGCTGTGGAATAATAATTCTTTATATCTCCATCCTTTTCTTTACTATGGTAACTCTTATAAAGAATTCAATTATTTCCTAGGCATATCCATTTACACACAAAATTCGGATTATCTACAACAGTAGATCCAGTAACGGCTATAGCTCTACTAGCACCCTTTTTTACTACCAATTCGCAGAATTGTAGTGCCCTGTTCTGTCCGCCACCCTGGGCGCTCATCCAACCGCGCCCTACTCTAAGGCCGGCCCTGAGTAGAGCATTAACAATGTTGTTTTTTGAAGCACAACGAAGCAGACGAGAAGATCTTTAGTATAGTTTCTTACGTAAACGTTTTCTTTGCAATGAAGTTTAATGAAACGTATACAAAGCGGTCAAATAACTGATTGTTATAATAACATCTTGCGACAGATGACATGTTTAATTAACAGACAAGGAATTGTCTACATTGAGAACGATCAGGACAATGATGTGTAAGCGTCGGTTTCAATTGAACCCATAATAATGTTTTGTCTTAATATTTTGGCAGAGGAAACCCACGGTAATTGCGCGGGAACGAAACTAAATATCATAATTTAGTATTTTAATACTTCCAAAAGGTCTAATACACACTGGATAATTGTCTGTTTGGAAAATAAAATTAAGAAGTTTTTGACTACGAAATAATTTCAATACGATAATAAGAAATATTCATGTAGTAGGCTATATGTATTTATCACGCTACTAAATTGAATAAAACAAGTAAAACCGCGGTTTGAAGTTAGTAAATAAATAAGAACAGATGTGAGTGTGACACGATACAAGCAAGACAACCACGCTTCTAACTACGCTATATCTTATCCTATTACACGAACTGAAGGAAGTACCTACGTTACTAATGGACGCATTTGTACTCCGTTATTCACGCGCTTTGTATGAGGAAAAACTATTACGTATGTAGCACTTTAACACTTTTTTCTGCAGGAAAATTCGGTTTATATCAGCTATTTTTAGCATTGCTATGTTGTGATGAGGAATGGTTTTTTTTGTATTTCTCATTTCCAATGTTTTCCTCCTATTAAAATTATGGCTGTTCAAACAATATGACCGGACATCGTATAGGCAAATTTAATGAATGCTAACAAAGTTAGAACTCATATGAATTAGGTTTAATTAAACTTCACGTTCAAAAACCTACGGAGAGACGTATAGTACAGTTTTGAAGAGTAAAAATTTAGGCGACTAATTATTACCGATCAAATACTTAAAAAGTTTCAAGAATTCTGTTTAAATGTTTACTTTTTAAAAATCTCCGTAAAAGATATTCCAAGTATCCGCAGAAAAAACACGTACAAGTTCAGTAAATATGCGTAATCGGCAAAGAATTTCAACGAAATACATACAGGCCACGGTCACTGGTGGCAGAACGCGTATGGCCTTTTATCCTTAAAAAAATCCCGCCTTTATCTAACAATTGTCATTTAAAAAAACAATAAGTGGTGTGTAATGGCGGGAATCATACGACATAATTAGTAAATCAATATTGCTTGGTAAACAAATTCTTAGTAATCCAAATGAGGGAGAATTGAATGAGTAAGATTTATTTTTAGGTCTCAACGAAAACATGTTTGTGGTAACAATACATGACGCTGGAATTAATGACCTGTTTCGTTTAAATTGTTAGTTGTCATATTTGTTTCTTTTTTCTGAGAAATTCATTGAAAAATTTTGCAAAGTAAAACTTATTTTTTCATCTCAAAGAATTAAAAAAAAAGGTAAATAATGAGACATATTTTATGATAATTTGACAAAATTTAATATCATTAGTCATGTTATGTAGAAAATTTGGCATTGGATTTTGTAAAGATAAACATTTTTTTTTCAACATCTATTGGAACTAAATCATGGAGACCCTCCTTATAAATACACTTTAAAATGGTTGGACGGGGAAAGCATTTTATAAAAGTCAGTAACAATATTTTGTCCCGACTGACATAACGGTAATAGTATGATGGTTTGTTCCTTTAAGACCAGTATCCTAAATACCTTGACTGATAAAAGACATATTAAGTCAATTGTATTCTCCGAAGCATCATAAAAGTGCTGTCAGTGTTATTTCTATTACTACTTTTAATTCCACTAATGTACAGAAAAACATGTATAAAATCTTGTTATCTGTAAGTTTCATTACTTTATATCAGTAAATGCAATTATGAAGTAGAACAAAAGATAAGACACAGCTGCTTTTACATAGGTTAAATTGTTATGTAAATAATCCTATTGTTACATTCTATTATGTACATTTTAACAATACAATAGATAGTTGGAATGTTCAAATGAATAACTCCATCAACTATCTTGTCTCAATATTAATTTTACTAGATTAATGCATAACAACTTTTATATTTACTATCTTTTATAACAGAAATTAGTAACGGAATAACAATTGTAATATTTTAGTTATCAAAGTATCAGTAACCGAGAAGCAAATAATATTTTATCCGATGTCCTTTAAGTTAAATAAGATTTGATTATATCAAGACTACAGGATTGACTAACTTTGTTTTACCTTATGTTAAAAACTTCTATACTTTGTATATTTCATTGATTTTTGTAACCAATACGAACGAACATGTAAGGATCAAAGTTTAAAGCAGACAAAGACTATTTATGATTCATATATGTTTCATATAGACATTTAGACTTAACAATGTAATATGATAAATATTAATAAAGTTCACAGTATTCCTCAGTATAAAACTGTTAAAATTGTTGGTTGTAACTGTCTGACTATCCATTACTTAAGTTAGACTTGAGTTATTAAATATTTTTTCCTATTACTTTTCTATAGTAAAACTAATAGCATTGTAATAGCTAAATAGTTAGATAAATGTTTTATTAACTTGTACGTTATTTATTGGATTCGTAATATAACAATTTGTACTTTTGACATTTTGATAGACGTAATCAATGAAGTGGCGATGCGCAAAACTGAAAATCAATATTTTTAAAACTGGGCCAACAGTATAAAGTCAATATTTTCATATCTTTAGTAACGGGTTTGTTCAGATATAGTGTTATCGCGTGTATATTGAATGTAAAATGTATTACGATAATGCAGTGCAGGAAACATGACAATTTATTCAAAGTGTATTAAAAACAACCTATTTAAAATAAAACAAATGTGAAACATGCAAAGAATAATGATATCAACTGCGCATAAAGTTCGAACCTCTCCTCGAAACGGGTTTACATTACAAAAGTTTCGTGAATACATAATGTATGAGCAACAGGTTATCGTCCGTCATAATCCGACAAATACGCGGCTAGGATTTTCTTTCGCACTTTCATTTGCATAAAACACTGGTAAATAGAGCATGCGCAGTGTCGACCTACAAAAAAGTGGGAAAAAACTAAAGATTCGCACGTCAAATTGAATAGTACCGACCTTTTTCTGACTTGAGGAGGTACGTTTTGTGCTTCCTCTCGGCCTCCTCGTATCGGTTCTTCCACTTCTCGACGTAAGTAGAAAGCGCGATGCTGGTCTCCTTGGTGTGGGGCTGCGCGTCGGGCGGCGTCATCCTGGCGGCAAGAGGCGCGGGTGTCGCGCGCGGGATCCTCGTCGCCCCGGGCCCGGCACACGGCGACACGGCAAACCCGCTGCGGCCGCTCCCGCTCTGACACTGGCTGTGATTGTTGCTCGACGCGATCGCAAATACATTATCGCCGTTCCTTTTAATCATTTTTGCATTCGATATTTTACACGCGCGCTCCGAACATCTTCCCGTTTTCACATGCACAGTTCACAACACGTGTCGGGATCAACAGGCAGGTGGCCCGATTAATGGTGTGATGAATTTTATTCGCTAATATGATTTCTTTGTTCCGTCGTTGAGGAAAATACGCGTAATAATGTGTACGTTCACAGAGCAGCCGTGGATTGTGTCACTCGCGTTCACTCAATAAAACAGCCTCGATTGACCGCGTATATTGAAAAATAATAATAAAAGTATCTGTACAGCTGATAAACACGTTAAAATGTTCAAATAGACAACAATTAGCTGCCAGTGTCCGTTCTCAACTAACGTATGCGTGCAGTTATGATTATGATAATGAATTCTTCGCCATTGTGAGTCATATGAGTTAATGTTTACGCTTTTTGTTTATGTTTGAAGCGCACTGTCGCTCATGTATCGAGTTGGTTAGTCGCATATGTCATAGGTAATTCGTAGTAGCTAGTTGAGGTTTAGTTAGAATTCGTCATGCATGTTCGATGTTACTTATCAATGTGCTTACATTCTTATCATCAAACCACATTATTTTCCAGTTTCCAGTAAGCTTACGTCATCGACATTGCAAGTAATCACTGATATAAACACATTAGTAAACTTCGCTTACTATAGTGATAATTTTAAATAAATTCTCTCGTTTACATTATGTTATTTATGATTTAATTTTGTTTCAAATGTATATTAATATATTTTACATTTCTAGATAGACCATAGATGGTGTTTAATTAATAAATTTTATTTCAAATAAAACTTATTACATACTTTAAACAGATAAAAAATATACTTTTATGTTAAGTTGTTTAAGGTTTCACTGGTAAAAATACAGCACATCACGATTTATTCAATCCGTCAATCAAAGGCAACGCATCTGCAATTACGGATTTCTATGCGATTTGCTATTTCGGCAACTTGATGTGGCCGCGTGCTCCGTTGCCACCTTACGATATAAAAAAATATAAAACACAATCAGCACACAACACTACACATAGCTGGAGTCGACAAACTAAACTAAATGCATTTCGTCCAAATAGGGACGAACGGATATTCTAAAATTAAACTGTTCTGTGAAACGACGAACAGAGAACGTTCTGTAAACGACAAGGAGTTGTCGGCGTGTGGGCTGAGCTGGCCACGACCCCACTTGTATTGCAGCATTCAAACTTTATGTCGGCTCGGTGTTAGCTGCATATGGTCGCAAGTTCCTGTCTAGTATTGTCACAGATAATACTTCCGTAAATGGCTATTTATTGCCCACATACGGATGAATAGTCTCAAAATAAACTCGTCGATAATTAATTCCTCCCATCTCACCTCTGAAAATGTACTAATTATTTCTACTGAGGTCCAATTCTAAAATATACCTTGTTTCAACCTAATGGCCAAATTAAATATTTTGGAATTTACGAGATACTAGTGCTGTTTGTCAATGGTTAACTGTTTGCATGGATATAATTATGATCTCCATATTATGTAGTCAGGATCTCGTGCGCCATTCCGAGCTCCTCTAAAGTTTGGATAGTACTATAATCCCATTTAATTGCATTACCAGACCCGCTATGATTTGCTGATTGTCCGTTATTACTCATCCTTATAAATGCATACATTCCATCTACTTAATAATATTGAATAATCGTCTATTTCTGTTTGATTTTGTGTAGCAATTTGTGTATAAAACATATATTACAGATTCACTTAACGGCGTGAAATAATTAGTTAAGGAGCCCCTAAGTGTAAGTTTTTCTGAGAATGAAAATCTTCACAAAGGGAAGCATTTGGTGACAGCTTAATTCTTATTATGGAAATTGTTATTAAAAGTTAAATTAATATTTATCAGAAGGACAATAGTTACCTACAATATAAATTATAACCAATCGAATATAATTTTTTTTTAATATTATAGTCTAGATCTAGAGAAATCTGTCACGGTCGAAGTAATCCGAAAGCGAGGCTAAGGGAAAAAATTAAAAAAAGAACCTCGGTCCGTCGCGGACAGGCGGAGAGAACCTTACAAAACTTTTTCCATATTTAGAAAACGGGGTCAGTTCGGGGCTTATTTTCAAAGGGCGCCACACTGGTAGCCTGGCAAGGCAATCCGATTACTTTACAACACAATACATTCATTTAATAACAACAAGATTTTGTCACAAATATACATAATTTATAATACAATATTTCATTTAATTTAAACTGAAATTGCAAGCCTCAAAATGATTCACTTTAACGGAATGTGTTCTGAAATGTTTCCAATGAAATACACTTCTTTTTCATGTGACAAGAGAATGTCGGATGTTTTGGTAGTAAGAAAAAAAAGAAAAGAATATCCCACGTGTTAGTCTTCCTTGTACATCGGTGTCACATGGTTTGTGTTATTATTTTTACGTGAGGACAATAAATATCAGGTTATTGACCCCGGGTTCCCGATCCTATTTCTGGTCTCGTTATCCTGGGCCGGGGAATCGTAAAATGTTAACGTCGCTTTTACAAGCAGGATTAAAGCGTAAAAATATTTATGTCCTCTTTAAATTCGCCCAATTTGGATGCAATCCTTTGTGTTCATTAAGATTAAAAGTGTTCGTTTATTTTTGTTGCAGATGCACGTTATATTTGTAACGTAGTTGTTAACTTGTTAAACAATTAAGAACGGTTAACGCTACAGTTATTTAATTCGTCCAGTTAATTTTCGCAATTAAAACGGTTATAGCAATTTATTTAGATAGCAACATTACTTATTCAATATGAATAGTTGACACTTAGCTGTGTGTGGGCGAAACCTAAGGTTGTCTACAAGCTTAATGTAAAACTTTCTATAACTAAATGCCATGTTAGTTTCTTTAAAGGGAAGCAGCATTGAATAAAACAATAAATGAAACATTTAAAATATTAATTAATATCAGGCACAGGAAAGGGATGTAAAGTAATTTTTATTGGCACTAATCACAAAATTAAAAAAAATTGTTACCGTAAGAACAAACTGACCATGAAATTTAACTTAAAACACAAAAACAAAGTTAATCTTATATAAACAATAATTTTGAAGAGAATAAAAGTGACGAATGTGTTTTAAAAACTAATAGTCATTGACAGACAGATATTTGCAACTTGAAATTGAAAATAAATAAAAGTTACAATATAATTTGTATTCCACACGTACTCTAGCAAATGTGAGGGTCGCTTAATTTAGCCACAATGTTTAAATAGATGAAAGAACGCACGTGACATCTGCTATATTATGACATTCGTCTCCGGTGGCCTGACGCATCACGAATTGGGTTTTTAAAACATAGTTTCATCTAAATGTTTCCACTAAATGTTTTAGTAAAGTAAATAAACTTAGAGGCTTTTTAGAACACCAGTTTACGTAATGAAAATCATTCGAAAATATTTGTATTTTATCGTTATTTCACAGTACAATATTATACTGTTTTAATCTGCCCGTAAACTTTATTTCCATTTAAAAGTACGCCATTTATCCAAATAAGCTTGATCGAATTTTATGTTATAGTTACAATAAAAGCAGTTTTTATTGTTTTGTTAATTAACCGTTATTAATATGTGTGTGTTCTTTTCGTAAAAAAATAACATTATGGATGTTTATGATCTGTAGCATATGTTTGGATATGCTTAATTACGTAAACAAAATGACAATAAAAAATAAATAATTGTCCACTGCGTCATGGCTACTGACGAGCGCACAGCTGCTGTTAGTGCTGCGATAAAATTCTCATCAATTAGTTAACGTTTTCCATTACAATGTTTGTATGGTACAAAAACGAAATAACTTATCACTTATCCTTAATGCGTTTTTAATGTTCTTAACGATAACATTTAAAAATCAATACTGTCGCAAACAATGGAACCAAAAAAATTGATTGATGTAAACAACATTTAAGCTTCAATTTTCGGTGTTTTAAGTATTGTTCTGCCATCTGTTGGTAAAGGTAGGAACTATAACGTTTTACTTTTAGTGTAGTATATGCCATTCGATAATAGATGGCGCTTTTTAAAAATAAGTTTGTACGGTTCAAATTATGCATTAAAATACTAGCGACTTTATCACAGTGGAATTAAAAGTGTCTTGGAATTAAGAGGTTGCCCGGGAAAAAAAACACGGATTTGCGGACAGACAGATAGGTAAAAACTTCAAAAATTGAATTTTCGTTATGAGAAACGTAAATACATCACGTTATCGAAATATATTTTTCTGGTATTAGATATAGACACTTTTATTAATGGTATAGAAAAGAATAGTAATAATAAAACTAACTGTTGGCTTCTGAGACCAAAATCTCTATATAAAACATATCGTCATTCCTGTCTGTCTGTCAAAAAGTCTCCAATTTTCCGTACAAAAACATTTACCTCATAATTATAAATACATTTAATAATTAGTAAAACTGAATCTCAATTTATTCGTGATGGGAACAAACGGAAAATGGATTATAATTGATATATCCAGAAACTGAACACAGGGATGAATTAGTATTATGTTTAATACAAGGGGTTGAGCACCCCTAACGCGATGACGGTATTGTTAAGCGGCGTAGTAAGGTAACCATAATTTATCTTTACAATTAGGATTAATATACAAATAATTTAAATGTGTTTTACTTTTTATTAAAGATTTTAAGTAAATCGTGTGTTAAAAATAGCGTTGCAAATATCGTACTTTTCAATTGCTTTTTTTTTTAGCTAAAATTAGTAATTGTGAGTAAAGCGTAAAAGATACAGACATGTCATTTTTGACTTTTTTGTAAAACTTTTTGAAATCTACGATTCTCTCATACATTATTTTTATTCAAATCTATTTATCCTAAGTAAGCTTAAAATTTTAAGAGGATGAAGGGGTAAAAAATATGCTGTTCATTTATATTATATATAATTAACTTTTATTATATTAAATTATACACACAAACTATCGGAAATCGGTATCGGTTATGTGGTGAAAGAAGGTAAGTCACTTTTATGCCTTGAATGCCCGTAATTTACGCAAATTGCTTGTCACCTAACCTTAAACCCTAAGCGTTTGGGGTGCATCGAAGGGGTATTTAAACAAATCCCGCTTTGATACACCGCGCACAATCCCGGGGGAGCGGCATCGTGACGATTCAGCAGTTACCGAGGGGGCGGGGGAAGGAGACTGCAAAATATTACCATTACGGTAATAGATTTTATATTACTATGATAATTTCTTTAAAACAATAAAAACAAAAGAAGATCAATTAAAGTTTGTTTTGAATACATGAAGTCGATTTTTTAATTTAGTCAATCTGGTATCTGATATATTACGCGACACACTGTTCATTTTGCCTTTTTTTAAATATAAACAACAAAGCAAAAGGCAAAGGCACGTTGACTAAAGTTTCTTGTGTTATCGTCGACCATAAACAAATTATCATGTATATAATAAACCTCGTTCCCGCAAATAAATCTGCAGTTGACAAAAACCATAAACAAACAGTGTTCCTATAAATATCGCGATATAATAATAAATGTTATACATCGTGTTGTGCAGAAAACATGATATTACAATTTAGTCGATACCAAATGTCATGGGGGACGTTCCCTTCGCCTTTTTTATTTTATACAGTATGTTCTAAATATAATATTTATTGTTAAACAAAAACTAAGTCATATTATTATAAGAAATGTTGTAATTTCTTACAAATTCTGAGATAGAATAGGGTGATATTGTGAAATATGGATTGACAATGATTTACTGTAAATAAAAAATCGTAATCAATTTAACGTAAGGTCTTGTACAGGACAAAACTGGTAACAAAATGTCAGATCGCTGTCCGATGCGAAAAGCAGTATTTATTCCATTAATAACTTATATTTGGTATCAAATAATGTTATAAATAAATGTTATTGAAGTATTCGGTACACTCTGACATTTCGATGACATTTTCCAACATCCTGTTTATATGAAACTCTGGTGCGGGGGCGCCACTGTGAGTGCTGACGTCACGCCGTGTTTCGATTGCGTTAATGCTCATCAAATCGTCTAACAATTTCGACTTAGAGACCTCAACACTGTATTAAAAACTGTACTTAATTTCTAATAAATAATTATTTTAAAAAAGTGAAACTCATTTGACAGTACACTTTTATAAAATCAAGGGAATAAAACAAATTAAATGTCATCTCACTTGTCAAAATTGGTGAAGCTACCTCCTGTAGGTAGATGTCTCGATGATGATGAATGAGATATGGTTAGTTATACAATTAAATATATAACAAAAACATGAAATATAAAAAAAGTATAAAATAACATTCATTATTTTTTTTATGAATAGACATACTATTTAAAGCTTTTTTGCTAAAAGTACAATGAAATTTAGATTTTTTCATTCTATTGAATAGTGCATGTTTGGGCTGTCTATAACTCTACAATAATCTAGTGTATTTGTCATGTGCATTATAAAAACATTCACGGTCTCATTTTTAATCGCTGCCTAGTATCAGTTTGATATTACACATATTAAAAGAAATAACATACTTACTATTGAATTTAAATTTTTATTTTGATTATTATTAAATAAATGTCCATTAAGAATCACGTAAAAACATTTCAACATTACCACAAAAACTATAACTTCACACAAGACAATCTTTGAGACCACGAAACGTGACAGAGAATGGAATTCTACAGAGGTTTAAGCGCAGGCTGCGGGACGCGGCACAACCTGAAACACCCCAATAATTACACAGGACAGGGTCGCACCCCCCTTCCCCTTGCACTCCTATCCATAATTATAATAAAAACAACGTATAATACGCCTCTGTACCGCATATATGTATTTTCGTAGCAACGTAGTGCCGTAGCGGGCGGGGTCTACGCAGCTACGCGGGGCGTAGCATCCCTGTGTTGCCAGTAGGGATAGCTAAATTTCCCAATAATATCAAAAAATAATGTTTTTACTTTTACATACTTAATACACAAAATTTACTACTTATTAAGAGATTTACTGAACAAACACAAGTTACAATGGATCTTTTTTAATAATTAGTAAGATTTATTTTTATATTTTTAGGCATAAAGATGTACAATGGCAATTGAAATTATTATTTGAATCTTAGCACTTGTGATAAGAACAAAACAAGCTAAACTCGTCGTCTGAACTTTTAATGACTATCAGATTTCAACGAGATTCGGTTTCCGTTGTCTATTTCTGAGTTTAACATCTACCACCTCTGTTGATTGTCTGGAAAATTCCACTAAATAATTTCAAATAAAACATATAACAATTTTTAAAAAACTTATATTTATACAAAATGTTTGATATATATAATTTCCGAACATATGACATATGCTTTTAAATTTTTGAGAAATAATGAGTAATCTTTTTGATATTTTTATATAAAAGAACGCAACATACTCGATAAGGCCGAGGCATCTACGGTTTATTACTTATTTTAGAAATATTGGTTAGCATAGTTCAGGGAGTTGAACCAAGTGGATTGTCTCAGCCCACACGTATAATATGTGCTGGCCGTTGAGTTAGCGAAAACAGACACTATACAACTATGTAAGTTTGGGCTGTATGCAATAATCATATTGTTATGTTTGTCAGTGAAACTTAAGAATTTATGGGTTGACAATATATATTTAGAAAAGTAATGATGTAATTAAAATATTAATGTCACAATATTTCAGTAATAGTAACGTAAATTTTCCCTAAAATTTGGGAAATTCCATTCGCATCGTAGCGCCTTCTAAAATATGTCAGTCCGGTCTAAGCCGCGCGCCGGCGAGCGCGTGTCGCGACAAACTCTATATTAAACACAAAGTGAAGACAAAAGTAACGATTAAAAATACTAAATATATTAAAATAATACATCAAATGACAAATCTTAATTAATATTAACACTATTTATTTATTTTTATGATGTAGAGGCATGTTGTGCATCATTATTCAAACATCAGCATAAAAGATTGATTTTTTTTTCACTCATGACGTGTGTGGCTATACAAAGCTTTTAAATAAGTATTTTTTTAAATATTCTGTGTGCCTTTAGTGGTGTAATAAAATGCATTCTTTGTTTTGACATTAATATATTTCAAAAAATAATTACATCAAAAATAATTAATAAAATCAGATAAAATAATATGAATAATAAAACACTCTGTATGTGATAGTAGAGAAGAAAATTTTCTTGATTTTAACCAAAATAAATATAAGCGGTTATTGTTATCTTCTCTATTTTATAACTTTATCTCAAATAATATTGAATATCATTTGTTTTATTGAGTATGAAATAGGTTTTTTGTAATGCGACAGTTTTTAGTTGAAACATTTTCAATGGCCGAAATCTGCTTCAATGATTTCAAAATGGCGGGTGTAGGTATTTACGTAGAGATGCTCTTTCTTGTATTTTTTTATTATTTTACATGCAATTTCTTATTTAAACATAAATGTACCACAAAAAATGATATTTAATAACACGTTTAGAATATTTTCAGAAAGGTCTTATGAAAATAATAACCTTTTATCTAACCAAATATGAAAAAATATATATTTTTAATATAGCAGTTTGGAAATGTTAATAGGTATTTGAGTTTTTTTCTTTTTCTTGGTATTTCCAATCAGTATTTTATAGCGTTCATTGTGTATAATATTTCTACTTTGACATATAACAACAAAGACGTAAGTATTGGTTTCAAAAAAAATCGTAAAATTATTGGCTGAAATATTTCTCAAATAGATAGTATAGAAGTATGTTTTTAAAGGTTTATTAGTGAATAAAACTATCATTAGTTCAGTTGCTTACTTCGATTTTCCTAAAGTTAATTATTTAAGTAACTATGTAGTGCATAATAAGTAAAAGTAATATATTAATATTTAACTTTAAAATAAGTAACTTATAAGCGAACTTAGTTATAGTAACCAACTTACATAAGAAACTAAAGTGTTGTTTAATTAATTTACGTCAATTGTAATTTATCTTTTTGTGTCCTTTAAAACCAATCTGCAACCATATATGAGCAAAAAGAAATTCAAAGATATATGTGAATTTCCGGAAGAAAAAAGCGGCGACACGGCTCGCCAACCGACACGTTTCGTCTCCCGCTAGGGCGAAAAATTGCGGTGGTTAGTTTGGCCACGCCAAATGAAGGTCTGTGGTCTCTACCTACCTCTTTGGGTTACAGATGTGAGTTGTGTGATATCGCATTCCTGGGTTTAATATTATAAGTTTATAAAAATATCTTTAATATAACTTAACTAACAATCGTATGTTTTTTTTTATTTCTAAGAAAAGCGTAAATTTTCTCAATATTTTATATTTTACATATTAGTTATATAATGAGAAATAGTCGGAGATCTAACCAGTAACCGCAATCCATTGCAAAAGTTCCCACATCAATATAGACGCGTATAGATTTTTTTTTGACAAAGTTGTGGAACACTGTTGACCCAGTTTTCACGTTTTAAGAGCGACGTTAACTTTCCTAGAATACTTGTTTTAAATCCGATAAAGTGTAGAAATATACCGTAAGTACGGTTCTCAGAAAAAGTTTAAATTCACAAATTAAATTCAATTTAAGTTATGTTTTGAGTTCCACAATATATAGCGTTTCGAAGCCCTACTTGGCCTATTTTAGTGTTAATTTCAGGAAGTAAATCTACAATATTTCTTCAACAATCAGCTTAATATTTACCTAAACATTCTCCACTATTTTTTATACACTGTTGTCGTTTTCTGTTCATATTAAAAGTCTAGTTTCTAGTCTAGAAGTAAAGAATACTGCGTGTGATTATCTTAACATTCTCCTGTATAATTTAAAGTTTCTTGTGCATCAGGGATCGATCGCGCGACCCGGGCGTAGCGACCTCGTGCTCACTGCTGTGTCAAGGGTAGTCAGTTCGAATGCATTAGGACGTCGTTAGTGTTAGAGTTTACGACTTCAAGGTTAGGTTGAGAATAGATGAATATAAATTAAATGGAAGAAACACCACTTTTATCATCATTTTTGAAGCTTTATTTCTAGGAATATATCTGCCCATATCTGTTGTTAAGATCAAATCTGTATTTATATTGAAAATCGCCTTCCATTAATTTATACGAAAATCAGTTAGTTTTTATGTAATAGTACTTATGTGAATCTAGCTGTCGCCCGCGAATCCGTTTACACAAATTAAAAAACAACTTAATGGTAAACCTTAGTACCATATATGTTCTTCCAGACTATATTCTATATATATGGCAAATTTCATCAAGATATGTTAATCCGTGCCGGAGATACCTTCTTGCAAACATCCATCCATCTAAACATTCGCATTTAAGATTAGTAGGATTATATACTTATTTATTTTATCTTTCTTGTAGGTTTATTATCATCATCAGCTCACTATACGTCCCCACCGAGGGGTTCGGAGCCTAACCTAAGTTAAGGGTGATTAGGCCATAGTCAACCACACTGGCCAAGTGTGGGTTGGTTGACTTCACACATATCTTTGAATTTCTTCTAAGATATGTGCAGGTTGCATCACTATGTTTTCCTTCACTGTAAAAATGTCGGATACGAAAAACGAAAAAATACATTGGTACATGGCGGAATCCGAACCCAGGACCTGCAGATTGCAAGCTAAGTGTTTGATTCCTGACCACTTATAGAGTCCTGTTTATTTCTTACTAAAATAGACTGGAGTTAGGTTAACTACAGGATATGTCAGGGAATTCGGAGTTGAATGTCAGAGTTCATGCCCACGCATTAGTGAGGTTTGAGCTGAAGTTTTTGCTTCATTAAGTCACGTTTTATAACCATTAAACTTAATTTATTTTTACCTTTAATATTATTTCATTTTACCATTTAATAGCTTTATGTCATGTTGACAGATGACAGATATAACCTTTAAATTACCATTTTTAAAACGGCCGTGTATTTAAAAAGAAATTAAAAATTAAAAGTTTTTTTTAAAATGGGTGATCTTTTAACTAAGTTACAATTGCTTATTGTTACAATTTTTTTCTTTAAGGATATTAAATGAGGTTAAAAAACGTAACATTAAAATTCGCTTCTAATATTCATGGTATTATTTTCATTGTGTATTTTACTGGAATTAATCCATCACATTGTCATAACGTTTTCCCATTATTCTAAGCAAACGTTTGTCTTATAAATTGCTAATCACGAAATATCTTGGTTTAGTTTGCATTGACTTTGTTATTTGATATCTTAATCTTATATATAAAATTGCTGTTTTTGTAGTTTAGGCTGTCCGTATTGCAACTCATAAATCCACATACGGAAAAATGTATATACGCTTACCTTTTGAATTAATCAATTAGAGATGTTCCATCTCTATATTTTAGACAAATAATCGTAAACTGATCATAGTGTATCTTATCAAAATATAGAAAACATGTAAATTAATTAATATAATCTAAATAATTATTGAAATTTAAATATTTATTATTCTGCAACTATCTTTATAATATTATATAAATGTGCTTTTATCTTTTTTACTTGATATATTTTAAATAAAATACAATTTCGCTAAGCGACATCTAGTGTTCGATAAGTACAACCACTAGCTTGACAGAATTTAAGAATAAATATTAGGATCCATTATTAACATAAGATGAGTACTGGCCACCAAGAATGCAATACACAAATATAATTAAAAAAGAAAACAACGACTGTCAATGAGGCGGGAAACAGTGTGAGATGTAAAAGCAACGATGTAAAAACGTTTTATTTGTAATAACGCAATTTTGTTATTAATCTTACTAATATTATAAATGCGAATATTTAGATGAATGGATGGATGTTTATTTAAAGGTCTCCAGAACGGGTCCACGGATTTGGATGAAATTTGGCGTACATATAGAACATAGTCTGGAAGAAAACATGGGCTACTAATTAAGTTTTTTTTTAATTCCGTGCGGACGGAATCGTTGTAAATATTAGTGAGTGAACAACGAAATAAAGCAAGATTTTACCAATGGTATTAGCTAACATTTATCCAGTTGGTTAAAATTCTATCGTTAAACATATCTTGTACACAGAAAATCTGATGCGATGTTTTGAAACATTCGATGTTACGCAAAGCTTCAATGACGTACATTCTCTTAGGTAGCCTCATTGCTTCGTAAGACTTTGCAAATTTAATCTTTATTATTACTAATTGATTGACGTACGTAAATTACTGGTGTTATGGTTTTTTTAATATGCAATAGAAAATATGTTTACCATTTATTTAAATTATATTTGAATTTAAATTCAATCGTCAGATTTTATAAACTAATCTTTCGTAATAAATATACGTTATTAAAGCATGTTTTTTCAAATATGCTTTTCCCAACCTATTTATACATTTACACAGTATTTTTGGTACTTTTTTTAATTTAATATTTCACCCAAGGATTATAAATAGGACATAATATATTAATTTAACGTTTATAGGCAGGTAAATCGCGTCCTCATTTCTAGACTTTCCCAGTTCGGTACTTATCCAGCGGGTGACCTAATAAATCTACTATGAAGTATACATAATTATTTCAAAACTATTCACGTAGAGGTTTCGCCACTACCCCCCCCCCCCCCCCC